ACAGGAAAGTGCAGATTGGGATACCGTTTTATCCACTGCATAACACCCGAATTCTGCCACCACTGGCAAAGAACACTGACGTGCAAGGGCATGAACGCCTTGCAGAAGTGCTAAAGCGAATAAGAGGTGTTTTGACGGAGAAAGAAGTGGTAGACAAATTATTTTTGATGAGTTTCTTGGAAGATGCCGAGTTACAGACGAAGAATACTTGTCAGCAATAAAGGCTGAACTACAAAGATGCAAAGTTTTCCCGCGTGGTATTCCTTCGGATGTAATGATCAACCCATACTCGCCGAAAATACTGTCCACGATTAGGTCCAACATGGATCTGCAGTACGTGCTCGACCCATACGCGTGCGCATCCTATATTATTGACTACATCAATAAGTTCGACCGAGGAGTTAACACAAAAACTGAAGAAATGGTGAAGGAGTTACGTAAAGGAAGCAATAATTTGTGAAGCAATGCAAAGTATCAGCAGTGCCCATTACAACAGCACCGAAATTTCAGCTCAAGAAGCTACATACAACATTTTGCAGCTGCCCATGTCATTGCAGCGGTGAGCAGGTAATCTTTATACAAACGTCACCGCCAGATGAGCGTGCGAGAATTGTTAAGCCACAGCATGAGCTTCGCAGTCTTGATCCTGCTTCGAGCGACTGCTTCATGCACGGTCTATTGGAACATTACATGAAACGCCCAACTAAAATGGAGTGGGTCGCGTTTGCCGACTTTGCTGCGTGGTACAACTATAGTAAAGCGAGGCCACTTCTAGCATCAGAAACCGATGTAGGGGATGACGAAGAAAATGAAAATAATGACGAGTTGCAAGAAGGTTCCACAGAGAGGCTATTTATACGTCTAATGGATGGTGCGGGATTTCTTCGGAAACGTCCTCTACTGGAAGAAAAGACGTTATCCGATACAGAATGTCCAAATAGAGCCAGAACAGTTCTACCGCGAAGCAGTGATGCTATATCATCCATGAAGAAATGAAAAAATCATAGACGCAGACTGTGAAGCGCTTTACAACAGGCATCGCGAAGAAATTATGCGAATTAGGCAGCAGTTTCACTACTTCTTAAAAAATGTCCTTAACAGTGCAGTGAAGCAAGCTCAGAATCTGTGACGATAAAATGTAATAAGTCGTCAAATTTGCGAGTGCTTCGGAAGCAATTCCCAATGGTGCCAGCCGAGGCAATAACAATCCACAAGAGCCAGGGCCAGAAATGTGCGTCTGTCGTCGTCCACACAACACGAAGAATGACATGAGCACTCCTTTATGTTGCTCTGTCACGTGTCACGTCATTGGCACGCCTTTTCATCATTGGCTCTTTTGTGCCACCGAAAAAACCTCATCCCAACGATCCACTGCAGCTGAACTACAGCGCCAGGAGCGGTATTTGCTGATGCCGGCATTTAAATTTCTGCATGAAGCACATACCGTTATGCAAATACTGTATCAAAATGTCCAGAGTTTCGGGAAACACAGTAAGCAAATCGAGAACGATTAAGTGTGTTCAGAACAAGTGATATAATGCTCCTTGGAGAGACCTGGACATTGACGACGGAGGAAATAACTGTTACCAGATTTCGGGCAATATCACGTACTGATTGCGCAGGATCTGTCAGAAAAGCTGAAGAGCGTGCTGCCTCATATCGGAGCAATTGTAGGATCGAGCACATAATGCTGGTTCGATAAAAATTGAAGAAAACGGCAATTTGCTTCACTCGGCGTTTGTTAAACTGGACGATAGGCTCATTGCTGGTGTATATGCAGCTCCAGGAGTTACTGATAACTGCATTCGTCAGTTCCTGTCCAGGATCTGCACTGAATCTGGACGAATACTTATCATGGGAGACTTCAATCGTATTGTTAGCGGCACTTACAACGGCGCCTTTAAAGAAATGGTACAGCTCTTCGGCTTAACAATTAGAAACCTCGACAGTGCTACAACAGCCGTTAACACTACACTGGATATCATTTGCAGCAATTTCGAGATTGCATATGGCACTTACGTGTCATTGACCAGCTTCCATGAACCGATCTGGGCCCGATATGAAGCTGCACGGCGAGGCAGTGTCCTTTGAAACTTGCTGTATGGTACAGCAGCGATAATATTTTAATGTCCCTTTGTGACACTAAATGTGATCAGTTTTCATCTTTTCTTTAATTTCTATATAATAATGGAAATAAAAATAATCATATTCCAGAGTTTAGTGATTCTGCTCGTTTAGCAACAAGCACTATCTTTCACAACTGCTTATTTCAGCATGGACTGGAAGTCTTTATAATAATTTCTAACAGTCTTGGTGGCCAGTCCCAATTCTTTTAGCTAGAAGCATCTACCGGAAAGA